CCCGAGCTCTGTTTTTTTCTTTTCTCTTTTTCGTCTGGTTCTCGTGCATTTTTTTGTTGAAACTCCTCCTCTTTGTTCAGGCTTCTTTTGTGCTTTATTGCTCTCTCCTTTCTCGATTTTCTGCTCTCATTCTCGTGCTCTCTTTTTTCTATTTTTTTACATTTTCCTTCCCTCCTCCTGAGCTCTATTTTTTCTTCTATTTTTTCGTTCGTTGCCTCTCCAGTTTTTCAGTCTCTCTTCTGTCTCCACCTCCCCTTTCCATCTCCCCTCTTCTCATTTTTGTTCTTGTTTGTTTTAAAGTAGAAACAGGGAGAGTTGCGTGTTAAGAGCTTATGTGCTGTGCGTGTGTTTCGTGTGTTCACTGTGCACGCTTGCTTCTTTTTTTTCTGGCGTTCTCTGCTCCTCCCTTTTCTTCTGTTCTGTGTTTGCTTCTTTTCTTTATGCCTTTCGTGTATGTGTGTACGTGTTCTACTCTGTGAAGCTTTCTTTCATGTATGTGTGTACATGTTCTGCTTTGTGCTTCCTTTTAACCACAATTTTTTAGTTGTTTATTTATTTGTTTTGAAAAATAATCCTTAAAGGATTGAATTTTTATTTTTTTATATTTATTATATTTTTAGTTGTTTTAATGAGCTAAAGAAATAAAATCCTAATCAGCAGATTATAATATTAAACCTTATTAATTAAAGTATTTTTTTATTTTGAAAATATAATCCTAAAAAGGATTAAATTTTATTTTTTTATTTTTATATATTTTTTGGTTATTTATTATTATTTTTATTAAAAAATGCCCAGATAAAATACAATGTTCACAAGCATACATTAATTATTTCTCGTTAATGTAAATTATGAGGGGTGATTTAAGAAATATGAAATAAATGTTTATTAGAATGAGTGATTTTGCTTATAAAAAATACAAATCAAAAGTAGTAGTTTCTCTAACAATAAAAAACATAGGGAGTATAACGGTAAGAGTTGTATACTTAATCTTGTATATACTTAATATACTTTAATTTTATCCAATCAAATCAAGGCATGTTATTTTTAATATATTAATAATAATAAGATTAATAACAAGAATTTGTCATAAAATAATTTATAAATGATACACACACGTCTTGATTTAATTAGAAAATAATTTATAAATGATACACACACGTCTTGATTTAATTAGAAAGTAGCATTTTAATCATGTATAAAACAAAGTACACATGTTTTTCCCTTGATAATTTAGATGTATAAATGTTTTCATATTGCTCATGCAACATTAATGATGCATGAGACCAAAATCTAGTTATTTTTAATGTACATTAAAAGTTATAGGTTACAAGGCGGAGGAATTTTTACCTACTCATGGTCTGAGGCTAGGTGATCCTATATCTCTGTACTTTTTTTTTTTTTTTTGTTATTTGCATTGAGAAGTTGGCTCATATAATGCAAGGTGAAATTATTGCTGGTAGTTGGAGGCCTATTAGACTTCAGAAAAATGGTCCTGTCTCTCACACCTATTTTTTGCTGATGATCTCATTATTTTTTCAGAAGCAGAAATTGATCATGTGGAGGTCATTACAAGCTGCCTACAGAAATTTTGTGAGACATCTGGTCAAAAAGTGAATCGAGCCAAGAGTGGGGTTTATTTCTCGGCTAATGAGGGCCGCTCGAAGGCTAATCATCTCTCAGATCTGTTGGGGTTTGCAAGTACATCGGACCTTGGTAAGTATCTTGGAGTGCCGTTGCATCACAAGCGAGTCACGAAGGACACATATAGTTATGTGGTAGATAAAGTAAAGAGCCGACTTAGTAGCTGGAAAGTGAATCTCTGGCTGGTCACAGCACTTTAGTTAATTCAGTACTCACGGCCACTCCTCAACAGCCTATGCAAACGGTTCTTCTTCCTGCTGCGATATGTGAAGACTTGGGGAAACATTCGAGATCGTTCCTCTGGGGTTCTACCCAGGAAAAAAGTAAATCTCATTTGGTTGCCCAGGATAAGGTGTGCAGTGACAAAGATAAAGTTAGTCTTGGAGTTAAAAAAACTAATGGCACAGAACCAGGCTTTTATTATGAAGAAAGGGTGGGAGCTGATTCAGAAGAAGGACTCTCTTTGGGTCAAGGTCATAAGATCTAAGTATAAATGTGGTAATGACTTGATTCCAACTGTAAAAAATGATCGCCCTAGCTTGAGATTCTGGGGTGACCTAAAATAGACTTGGGATCTTCTCAAAACTGGTTTACAAGAAGTTGATCTCCCTAATGGGCAAAAAACGGCTGGATGGAGTTTTGAGAAACATGGGAACTTTACTGTAAAGTCAGCCTATGGGTTATGTCGTGAGGATGAGGCACCTACCTCTACAATGTACTAGAAAATTTGGAAGCTGAAAACTCCGCCTAGGAGCAAGACGTTCCTGTGGCTTGCAGCTAGGGACCGTTTGCTCACAAATGAACTTAGAAGGCGTAGAGGGTTGTGTTCTGATGCTATTTGTCTTAGATGTGGAGAAGAGAATGAGGACACGACTCATGTCCTCCGTGATTGTATGTCTACGAAGGAGATTTGGTTGAGATGTGTGAGAACGGAATATCATGCACAGTTTTTTGAGATGGAGCTAGATGCATGGATTAAATGGAATCTGACCAGTAGTGTGGGCAGAGAAAACATTGAGTGGCCTGAATGCTTCTCTATCATATGCTGGCTTATATGGAGAAGGAGAAATGAGTTTATTTTCCAGAGCAAAGACACCGGAGGGGCAGATCTGGTTGCCCATGCAAAAGGGATCTTAAAATGTTTGAAGGAAGTAAAGGCGAAGTTTGGAACGACTAACAAGCATGGTATTATCGACAGGCCCGTGAACCGAATGGATAAATGATGGGGTGAAAATCTTCGTGGATGGAGCTTTTTCGGAAATGAATGGAAATACTGGTTGTGGGGAATTTTTCAGAACAGAGAAGGGAAATTCGATGGAGGGTTTGTGTTTCGGCTTCATGATGGAGATGCCCTCCCTGCTGAAATTTGGGCTTGCATTTGGGGTCTCAAGTGGCACTGGTTTGCGTGCTCACATGGTCCAGATTTTATCACAGTGATGGGCACGCAAACCCAGCCTGTCTCAAGTATGCTTGGGATAGAGGAATTTGCGAAGGGGTTCTTTTGTGTGATAGCAAGGAAGCTGTTAACCTGTTGCCAAGAGGAGAGATTGATTTGCATGAATATCGGGTTCTTATTATTTTGTTATATTATAATTTGTATTTTTTTAACTCAAAAAAATTAATGTAAAAATAAAAAAAATATAGTAATTTAATTACCAACCATCTAACCACATTCTTATAAACAAACAACAACAACAAAAGCTTTATCCTATTAAATAGAATCAACCACATAAATTTTACAATGCTATTATATTTTATCATCAATCAAGCTTTTAAAGATATTATTTTCATAACTATTTTCTTTAATCTTTATCTATAGTGCCATTTAGAGAACTCAAAATTATCTACTCTACTTTCTTTGTCAGTATCTCCAATATATATTCAAACAATTTTCAATAATTTTCTATCATTTTTTTGCGTAGATATTATGTCTACTTTTTTTTCACGAACCGATCAATAGATATATGAATTAATGTATGGACCTGAAACCGGGTGATGAGTTTCTCTCCTGATCCCATCCTACACTCACATAGTCGGGGTGGGACCAGGAGGGAGGAGATTCGGTGAGAAGCAGTGTCCAAAGCATTGTTATCTTCCCTGTAGAAAGCAAGTGCCTTGTACGTTCCCTGATCAGAGAGCTGCCTACATCTCTACAGAGAAGCGAATCAAAAGGGGGGGGGGGAGAGGCTCACGAACTGAGGATCAATGATGAAGAAAAGCATTGTGATCATACTCTTGATGATCATGATTCTCACAGCAGATTCATCAGAGACCAACATGAATATGACCACCAGTGGATGGCTTGCCCATTTTGATGCTGATGATAATATGGCTGAGCCTGAGCTCATGAGTCCTAATCATCACTTTGCCAGAATGCTTGATGAAGTCAATTTCGTCACTGAAGGTTATGCCCTAAGTGGTAAACAGGTCGTTTCGTGTCCTAAACGTCCAAACGGACTGTATACTTGTTGCCTTTCCCTCCCACAGCATCCTCCTCCAAGCAACCCATGCTGCGGTAACCCTACAAATAGAAGTCTCGAATGCCATACGAGTTCCTAATGTCTCAGGTTTCTCGTTTGCTTTCTGTGTGTTTTGTTCAAGAAAAGGTGCTTTTCATTGCTGCCTCCATCGTTTTAATTCTAGTATGATGTTGTCAAACGCGGCTATACGCGACGATATATATGTACTAATAATGTGTTTAATTTATAAGTTTGATTAGCTAGCTTGTTGGAATGATTATTTATGAGGTATGGCAATGCTTGGACGGCACTAAAATTGATTTTTTTTTTCCCTCAAGAAAAATAGTTGCAGCGCGATCAAGATTCGAAGGATACAAATATTTCCAACGATTTGATCTGATATCCTTATTTTTGTACCATTTTTTGGGGTTATTTGCATTTTGCAAACGCCAGGAACTTTTGTGTTCTAGGAAAAATAACATCTGGCTTTATGGGTGTTTTTGTACTAAAAAATGGTATTTAAATTTTTAAATTTATAATATTTTTCAGTTAAAGTAAAACAATTTAATTTTTTAGTGCAGTACTACTTACGATCTGTCATGATTTATTCTTATAACTAGATTTATTTTCCGTGCGATGCACGGGTTATTTTAATATTAAAAGATAAAAATAAAATATATAAATTTAAAAATAATTTATTTTGTGCGCTCAAAATATTATATTTAATGTAAATAAGTTGCATTTTCTTTGTTGTACAATATTTTTGTCCATTATGTCTCTCTTTCATGGAGAATCCATATCTTACCAGACATATAAGCATTAGTTTTTTTTTTTAAATTCAAACAGTGACAGTACAGAGATAGGAACATCATTCTTTCTTATTTAGCAATTCTATTGTAATATGGTGCTACAACCTTCTTTAAGGAATCCAACAAATGTTGTTGAGAAAAGGGAAGTGGACATAAATAAAGAAAAGTGCCTAACCAAATTTTTTGAAAAAAATATTTATGACATAATAAAGATGCCAGTGATGCCTATTCTGCATTTGCTAGATTAAAGATAGCATAATTGCTTACAGCAAAAATGATATGACAAACAACCCAAGCCAAGTCACTTTCTTTTCAGAATAAACCGAATAAGGCATGGTTTTTTTTTTTTTTTCCAAAAGAAATTAATGCCTTCATTCTATATAGAATAACATATTTCAGAGTTCTAATTACTCTGAATTTCCTTCATCATTTACAAAAGCAAGATTAAAGAAAAAAACAAACAAACACATAAACTTACCAAATGACTGAAAAAGAACAAACCTAAATTGTAAATAGATCAAGGATTTCAGGTATTAATGTTAAAATGATGACAACAACTGATAATCTGAAAAAAAAAAAAAATCCTTCAATCCAGCTTGAACTAAACAATTATAAGAAATTATCAGAACTTCATTCCAATCTAACAAAGAGAATAATAACAATATAACATGTAACCATGGATTTTCCTTCCTTTATTTTCAATAAAATAACCATGTATTTCCCCCTACCGGATTCAATGCAAGGCAGTTATAAAACCCTCTAACAGTTCAATGTACTGAGGTTTTGTTCCTTTTATATGATACCCAAGCAGGTGCTTCATTAGCCAAAGCAACCCATATGATTGGCCACTATGGCCTCGTGTGTGAAATCATTTCCACATAATCTTTGGTTTTAATTTGTCAAAATTAATGGCAGTAATCACATTCACCACTATTTAAAACAAAAACAAAGAACTAATCAATTCATCTAAAAGTATATATTGATTTAATCAAGAGACGACCACAAGCAGTCTCTCGGGATGTTCCAAGTCTGATAGTTCCAGTAGCTTCACGAAGACTACTAATAGAAACCCCAACTAAAGCTGCAATTCCATATTCATGCAAATTGAGGATTCGATAGAGGCCCCCTACTTTTGATATTTTTTCCGAACTACAAAAGCATATTTGGGATAAGTTACTAAACTCATATGAATGATATACTATAGCAAACTCTACCTTTTCTGCACAAGAATGAAGTTTCACGGGCACCATTTTTTCCTCACTTTCAGTTTGCACTCATAGCTTTGGTGGGTCTAAAATTGACGCGTGATGGCTTCATTTTACACCATTGTTCTAAAAAGAAAAGCATGTGAACTCAGACACCAAAAGCCAAAGTACCCATTTTAATATCTTCTTATCTAATTATTTTTTCCCTATTCATTCTTTCACCTTGGTTTATATAAAGAAGAAATGAGACCAGATATCATTTTATTTTATTGAATAAGTTTAAAGAGTGGAAGCTTCTTGAAAATGAATTCCATGAATTACCGGGACCTACTTGATTTAGATGAAAGTAAAAAGAAGACTAAATGAAACATACGCAACTAAAGCTACTCAATTGCACTTTCTTGAAATAAAAAACCAAAAAGGTGTCTCTATGCTGCTGCACTTAGTGGCTTGCGTACCTATTTATCACATTAATTAGAAGAAGGTAAAGTCCTGCCAAACTCTCTTTCCCCTTGAGCTTAACTTCCTTGAAAATTGAAACATAAGCAAAACATCAAGAATGAGCCATCAATGTGATCATCTGAACATGATTAACATGAATAATCTTTAATAAATAATCCATCAATGTATCCTGCTCAAATTTGGGGTAAAAGGCACACTTGAAGGTGGGGGCACTCACTACGACAAAATAATATTTAATGACAGGATGAAATGAACATCACATTGAACAAATGAATTCATCCCTTAAAATTCCAGTTTAAAAGATTTCATACCCTTAATAAAAAAAAATATAGCATGTACCAATTTCACCACCAATCTTACTAACCTATTTCAACTTGCTTCGATCCATTGAAGTAAAATGTTTATAAGAATAAAAAACTGGCATAAGCCCGCTCATGTTGATATGCAGAGCTTCTCAAGTTTTGATGTTGCTGGAGCTCTATCTCATCAGTAATCACATTATCTGAACCTCCATACCCCCTGCCCCAAACACTTCCAGAGACTATATCCTATCAATCGCCATCTACGGAAAAAAAAAAAAAGAAAAGAAAAAATAGGAGTGCTGAATGGGAAATGCTTTATTAAAAGAAAGAACTTGTAAATAGAGATGATTAAGAAGATGTAAACAATAATAGATGAAGAACAATCCTTTAGTAACTTTTAAAATAAGGAAGTTACTCTTACCTGCACCCATCACCCTTTTTTTAAACATTTGCAAGGATTTAAAAGAAAAAAAGGGCAAAATCAGCATCTATAACTGTTATTTAGCTTGCAAATGCAATTTTTATGTCATGGTTATATGGCATAAAGCGAAAAAAAAAAAAAAAAGCTGTACATACATGTCATGCACACAATGCAACGTTAGCAGCGAGACTTGGCGGTGCAAAGGAAGTATTCAGACTTCAAACCCAAGATCCCTCATCTTCATCTCCCCTTTCGCCACCCACTACTTCAGCAGCATTATCCCCTCTCCTGTCTGTCTTCTAAAATCGTCCTTACCTTCAAAAGATGCCAGCATCGGGAATAAATCAAGGGGAAAAAAGAATGAGTAATCTGTTTGAGATTGGGGAAAAGATGAAAAAGAAAATAAAGAATTAGAAAGAATTTCAAGAGATGAAGGAAGAAGAATGAAAAGATGCGTTGATGATGGAAAGAAGAAGAAGGCGGTGGAGCACAGAACCGAAGCCCGGAGCACCGAGGGAGGAAAAATAAAATAAAATCATAAGGGTAAGATTGAAAATACACTGTTCAAACAACTGTAGTTCTACAGTAACACCCGGTGGATTTTACAATATAATAAAGAGATTAATATTTTTAATTAATTCTTAAATTTAAAATTTAATGGATATAAATTAATTAAACAATTTTAAAAATTTCATGAAATACCTAAATTTTCTCTCCTAAGAGGCTTAGGCACTGCCCTCCGTCCGTCATCAAGTGTTGTTATAGCAAAATTCTTTGGTCCCGTTTTAGCTATTGTTCTGCATTATTTTCAATGCATAATTAATTTATTTCCAACTTTATCTTGAATAAGTAGTTAATGTGTGGTTTTAGCATCAACTGATATTTAAATGATTTGATTTAATAAAGATAATTTAGTGAAATTACGTCACTGGTTAGATTATTTGTTGTGTTTTTAATTTTGAATTAAGTCTTTATAATTTTTTTATTTTAATCAAACTTTTATAATTTAATTAACGAAACATAATAGTCTATGAAAATTAAAATTATTTTTAAGAAAAGAAAATTACAGTGACAGCAATTAATTAAAATTTAATTACCTTTCTTTTCTCCGTGCCGACAGTTTCTTTCTCAAACTGTCGGTCACAATTGACTGAAAATGACATATTTGACGACAAAGTTACTAAATGGTAATAATAATCAATCAAATCATAGAATTTAAATTATTGAAAACTTGAAAAACATGCCCACCAAAACTTTTCAAAAGTTGCTCACATGGTTAATACAGCAAGAAGAGGACCACACGAGTTGAAATTGGAATGGTTCCTTTTTAACCAAAAGCTGGTACACAAAATGGGAGGGAGCAAGGGCAAAGGTTATTACAATAGTAGGGATGAAACCCTTGCTTTTTCCACCATGCCACAGCTTTCATCTGTGAGGAGAAATCGTTTAAGAAAACTATAACTTTTATTTTTAAACTGTTATTTATGATGGATAAAACAAATAAAAAAATTACAGTTCAATCTCATAGAAGAGATTTTACTATCAAAAAATTTCATGATATTCACAAAATAATTTTTAATTTTAAATTTTACTTATGTATGACTTAGTAAAAAAAATTTATAATTAAATAGCGGGCATTTATAACTTAAAAAAATAACAACTTATAATAATAAATTATAAATTTTTATTATCTAATTGTAAATACATTTTATTAAATTATAAATACACATGATTTGATATTTAAAAATATTTTATAAATTTTATAAGATTTTTTAATATTAAAAATCTTTTTTAGGGACCTAGCTGTAACTTTTTCTAAAAAAAATATACAGCTCACACTCATAGCTGAGGGAGGGGAGTGGCTGGCTATTTTTTTTTTTTTTTTCCTGGTAGGTTGTTCTCTAGAAGCAGAACTGTGGAGCATTTTTTTTAAATATAAAACTATAAAATAATCATACGAAAAAATTAAAGTCTAGTCAATATAAAAAGTTACGAGGCTTTTACGGTGGGAGGCGGGATGACTGTGGAGCGTTTATTATGGCTTCATAATCACGAAAAAACTGAATATAGAGAAGCTTGTAGTCGAGAGTGATTCGTTCACGTGTTAGCACACCTGTGGTACTTTAGATTCAAGTCAAACTGATCTTGACATGATGGGTTTCATTTTTTTTTTTTTGCTGGTGACAGTGAAGTTTTGGTGAAGCATGTGCTCAGAGTAGACAATATTTGTGTCGATTGGCTTGCTAAGAAAAGTATGAGCGAAATTAACAACTGCATTATGATGGTGACATCTTAGGAGATTGTTTCTTTGGGGTATTGAGATTTTTTTTTTCTTTTAGGATTTCAACCCCTCATCTTGTGTATCAATGTATGTATTTTGTTTGGGCTTGGCTTCTTCTCTCTCTTTTTTTTTCCTTAAAAAAAAAGCAAGTTGTTACTAAATAATTTCTAAAACGCAAGACACATAGGATAATAAATTTTAGAAAAAAAATATAATTTTGAATTCCTATATTTTACTCACATTCTGTTATTGATCCTTACACTTTTTTTTTAATACTTTAGGTCCATACACTTTATTCATAGAGGGATTTAAAATAATAAAAAAAACTGTTAGGATTTAAACTACTAAAAAAAGTATATTGATCAATAACAAAACGCAAGCAAAGTAAAGGGATCTAAAATTATATTTTTTTTAAATTTTAAAACAAAATATATTATTTAACTTTTTAACTTGCACAACTAACAAATTTTAAACTAGAACGCGTTTAAATTTTAATATATTTGAAGATCACACATCTTGAAATAATAAATTATTATTATTATCATTATATATATATATGGGGTAACAAATTCTATAATAATTTGCATGAAAATAAAAATAAATTTTTGCTTTTATTTTTAATATACATGGAATAACATATTCTAAAATAATTTTGTGGGAATAAAAAAGTTTGTTGTTTATATTTTTTTTTTTAATTTTATCTCTAATGTAACCCTTCCCTGTAGAAGACACACACCCGGTAGCGGCCAACGTTGAATTGAGTGAGGGCAAATGCACCCCCTCAACTTGGCTAAAATTATAAATACATGGTGCGAGATTTAATGTTTTACATAATTACATCATATATCTTTGTATTTTATACTTCTATCCATAATTAATTACTTGAGATCACTCAAGTCTTGGCCAAAATCTAAATATATTAATTATAGATTTCCCAAATCAGTTTAGCTTGAGCATAATAAATTGCAATCCAAAATTTAAACTTTTACTCTACACGAGATAACCTTTATAAAAAATATAATTATTTACCTTTTATTTACAAATTCAAATTCAAATTCAAATTTTTCACAATGGTTATTTTAATTATTTTCTTTTTCCTTGCTCAACAATATTATTTTATAGCATGAAATCCCAAAATATTAAAATTTTTGTCATTATTTTTTACTTCTATTTTTGTAATGTATATAATTATTTTTTAATTATAAAATTTTTTTATACTATTAATTTTTTATTTTAAATTAAAAAATAAAGGGACAAAAATACCCACAAAAGTAGTCAGCCAAGGTTACTCAATATCCTAAAGTGAGAAAAAAGATAAAAATACTTATTAGATTATATGAATGGGTGTAAAAATAACCAAATCGTTAATTTTAACCTAATGCTGTTAACTTTGATCGCTAAATATTAACTATGCATATCATGTATCAATATTTGCTAACATAGACTAATAAAGAGACAAAAACATTCACGAAGTCATCGGCTAGGAGCAAAACTATCCATAACATTATTAGAATTGGTATAAAAGTGACAAATCCATCAAATTCCTTAAATGTTGACCATTTAGTTGACACCTGAGTAGAAGTTGATTATTTTTTCGCTGATATTGATAAAAATATTCTCAAATAAATTTTTACGTATGTTAATTGATCATTGTATGAGTACCCATAATGTTACTTTAGTAGGTATAATAGTGACCAATCTATCAAAATCTATACCACATGGTTTCTTTTCTTCGCCACGTATCTTGTTCCCTTCCTCCCTTCCTCCTTACTCATTTTTCTTGTCTGCAAAATATGAGATTCAACATAGTAAGACAGGTTGTACACGATTGAAGATTGAGACTGAGCACACCTTTTATGCCGCCCTACTTTAAGAACATCATCACAACCTTAAGCAATTTCATTTATGATAGGTTCAAAATTTTTAAATGGTTTTCCCTACTGCTGTAAAGAAACAAGCGATTTAATTTAATATTTAGTCAAAATGACATTTTCTCTCATGATATTCATACAATAACTGATTAACCTCTAGAAAATTTCATCTGGAAATATTTTTTGTCCATGTTAGTGAAAATGATCAACTTCTATTTCAGTGTCAGCTAAACGGTCAAAATTTAAAGGATTTGATAGATCGATCACTTTTGCACCAACTCTGGTAATGTTATGGCTATTTTTGCTCATGACCGATGACTTTATAGGTATCTTTACCCCTTTATTAGTCCATTTTAACAAAGATTGAAACATGGCATTCACTGTTAGTATTTAATAGTCAAAGTTAATAGTGTTAGATCAAAGTTAATGATTTGGTCACTTTTACACCAACTCATGTAACGTTATGGATATTTTTGTCATATTCCTTACTTTAGGATATTGGGTGCCCCTAGATGACCACTTTGTATGTATTTTTGCCCTTTTACCCTAAATTAAACCACACCGCTTAAGCTAGGGTGTGCTATCTCTACCATTGCACCCACATATGCACACAATCATGTCAATGTGATGTTTAAACTCAAAACCTCTTTCAAGAGAAAAAGGTACCATTGCTACTATGTTAACTAACCATCAACAATTGTTATTTATATTCTACATATGCATTTGGTAGAAAATTCTTAAATAAACCAAGTTGTTCATACAGAATGGAAAAATCAAATTCTAGAACAAAACATTATATTTTAATTTGGATTTCTAATTTGTATTGGTATAGCGATTTTTAAACTAAAATAAATTGTTATCTACATTTAATTATAATTGGGATAATAAATTCTAAAAATAAGACAATTTTAAAAAAAAACAAAAGGAAAAATATCTTTGCGGGTCTTTATAGTTTACTCTAATTTTGAATCAGGTCCCTATAGTTTTAATTATTTTAATTGGGCCCTTATATTTTCAACCGTTAAGCCTGTTATTTCTTTTCCATTTAACACTACTAAACCCTTAACAGATCTGTTAAGCCTGTTAGTGTTAATTGATTACCGGCTAGGTAGATTAGTTTTTTTGACATGTTAGACTGACATGGTGGCCTGGAGGAAGAAAATGAATGATCAAATAGGTTCTTCACACTTGAACTCGCATAGGTCATGCTAGTCTTTGTGAATGACCAAGGCCCTGTGGCGATTAGTGAATAAGAGAAAGAAGCCATTGCCTAGTGTGGTCACAGAGGTAAGCTTTTTCGGTTCTACTTGATTGTTGTTATGATTCGTCTTCAGTTTGCTTA